AGTCATAGTTTATACTAAATTTATTAGATTTTACCGTAACTAATTTGTTAAGTCAGCTCACAACACATTTCTTTAACAATAAATTAATTATAACTACTACCTATTAAAATTGGTTTTTATATCATTTCCAACAAGGCTAGGCCTCCCCAAATTCTTGATTAATCAAAAATTTCCGGATCTAACCGTTAACCAACTAAAATTTTGCCCTCACTTTTTCTTTATGCACAATTCGGTTAGTTTTTAAAGACTCAATGATTACTCTAATAACCTATTAACTAATTCTAATTATGTTTCCCCTCAATTCAACCTATTTCTATAACAATACCATGTAATTTATTAAAAAATGTTCAAAATTAATTTGTAATACAATTATATCAGTTAATTAATTTCATAGCAAGGATTATATTTATTTCAAAACTTTAATCAATTAATTAGTTATTTAAAATTTGGAGTTATTTGATTTCAACTTAATCAATTAATAGTTTTAAATTTGGAGTTTAAAACAAAAATTGGGAAATAGGTATTAGGGCGTACCGTTTGAGAATCGGACGACAATTCCATGATCCATGTGACGAGGAGATCATTCTACCTCTTGGGGCCTCGCCGGAACTTTGCCGGCCGGTCACCGAACCGCCGCCGTGCACGATGGCCGGAAAAATTAAACTGCCCAGAAAATTGCATGGTCACCACCACCCGACTCCAATTTTTGCGAGGAATCCAAATCTGCTATCAGTTTGTTGAGCCGGTGGCTCGTTTGGCCGGAACAAGCCCGACAGTCCCTTCCTCGTCGCCAACCATGGTGTTTTCAATTTCTTCCACCAAAACCATCGTTTCTTGGATGGAAATCGTTCACACAAGGCGGAGGAATCGATCGGAGCTCACCTTGTGGCCATCAACTTCCTGGATCAAGCTTGATCAACGGAAATCCAAACTGGGAGCTGTCGGAGTGACAGTCCCGTTTCACGCCGATGGGGGACTCTTTCCGCGTGAAGGGAGGCCAGAATCGTGGTCGTTAAGGCTTTAGGAGGCAGTCGCCACCCACCCTGGTCGTGCAGTGATCGGAGAACATAGAGGGAGAGGGGAGAATGGAGGGATCGCGTGCCTGGAGAAGAAGAAGGAAAGAAAGGAAAAGAAAAAAAAGAAAAAAAAGAAAGAAGGCTAACGCTTCTAGACCATTCCGGTTCGATTCGAATCGGTTCGGTCTAATTCAATGATTTGGCTCGATTCTTGCTCGGTTTATTCGAACCGGTTCGGTCTAATTTAATGATTTGGCTCGGTTCTTGCCCAGTTTGTAGGTTTTTCACTTGGTTTTCGGATTATTCGTGTGGTTTTCTAAAAATCAATCTGAGTTTCGAGTCCGGTTCAATTTATTTTAATTATTTAATTAGGTTTCATAACATTTCCTCCATTAACTAAATAAAAAAAAATAAAAATATAGTTAGTAATCATATTTGATTTTTTTAGGATAATTGGTTTATATATATACATAATAGATTAATTGCTGGACTTTCATATTATTACTCAAAAATTTAATTGTTCTCAATTCAAAATTTCGACATTATATTTGGGCTTTATTTGGGCTTGCGCCTAATTTGCAAAACTTGAACTCAAATTAAAATTGTTCACTATTTACGGCCCATACCGTCAAAAATTCAAATTTCTGATTTAATAAAAATTCAAAGGTTTCGAAAATAAAAATTCAGGGTGTTTCAGTAGCCTATTTAAAAATTTATTTATTTTTAATAAATTTGAAAATTAAAATATATAAAATTTTTAAATATCTCATTATCATTTATATTATAACAATAAAAAAATGATATTAAAATCTTTCTTTTATTCATTACTTTGGTTAACTAATAATTGATTTTTTTTTTTTTTTTATAAAAGAGCTATAGCTTTCTGAATAGATATGACTTATTTTCAAACGATAAAGATGTTGGGCTCAAGTTGAGCCTAACTTAACTAGAATCTTGATAGATGAAATATCCATAGTGTCTTTAATAATTTTTTATTAGTTAGATGAAAGACATTAAATTTGAATTTAAAACTTATACTCTCGACTAAAACTTTAATTAATGGAGAGAGAAAGAAATTTAAATTTAAATAATTTACATTCTCTCTCCTAATTTAATGACGACTATTATTTGATAGAAGCTATAATTATTAAGCAAGTAGTTTTCAGTTTTCTTTTTTTCATCATCATTGGTTATGGCCTGTGTTGGCCAGAAAATAGGTAGTTTTTTTTCATCTTCATCGGTTATGGCAAGGAGAGAGGAATCAAACCCGTGTTCTCGCGCTGGGTAGCAGACTCACATACCATCCAGAACACTAGTCCTCATCCAATTTTATTGTGTCTCAAAATATTAATATCTAATATGTAGCCCTTCATGGAAGATAGATGGGATAGATTTGATTTAAAGAAAATATATATGAATGGGATGAAGTTAAAATTAATATTAAATTTTACCTTCTAATTGATAATTAATACAACATTCTACTCCAATTGTCTATATTTTGGATCATAATATGTCAATGACCTTTTCTACAAGGAATATTAATTGGATGAGGATGATTAAGGTTAATTGTTTTATAAACTGCCGTAAAATGATAATACAAAACATGTCTCATAACACTATGAAAGATATTATTATATTACTATTTCGAGCAATAAGAGAATTGGACAAGGACTATAGGTTCAAACGGTGTTTGAGCCATGCCATCTTAAATTTAAGACTATGCCATCTCTAAATTTAAAACAAGTTTTTAACGTAATACCGTGGATATGTCTTGTATTATCATTTCAATTTACAAATATATATAATGTCTATTGTATTATCATTTCAATTTACAAATATATATATATTTATAATATAATATATATATATATATTAATAATATATATATATAATAAAAACCATTATATATAAAACCTTAGCCGTCTCTCCCGCTCTTTCTTTTTATTCTTCTAGATTTTATTTTTAAACCACGACCAACCATCTTCTTTAATCGGCAGTGGTTTCTTTTCATCTCTCTATATTGTTTTCTTTATTTTGTTTAGTTTTCTTTCTAATAAATTTTAAATATATGATCGATTGGAATAAAATTTAGATTTAGTCTCTTAAATCTGCAATAGTTGATAGTTCTTGAGTGTTTTTAGTACCCTCTCAGTGAGGTTATTAATTTCTCTCCTTCCATAGTGTTTTTATTTAATAGGCAGTTCGAAAGACAAGATGAATTGTTGTTGCTTGTGCTAGAGTCTTCAAATCGTTAAATTCGGATAAGTTTCTTTTACCAATGGAACCTGATAGTGTAGCATATTCCTCCATTAAAATTTAGTATATTAAATTATTCCACAGGTGTCAGTTGCAATAAGTTTTCGAAAAAATAATGTTCAGAACAATATTGTGAAATGCTTCTTTTGTTAATTTATTAAAATTTTTAATAAATTAACACCCTACGAATTTATTTAACCAGTTATATATATATATAATTATTCCACAGGTGTCAGTTGCAACAAGTTTTCGAAAAAATAATGTTCAGAACAATATTGTGAAATGCTTCTTTTGTTAATTTATTAAAATTTTTAATAAATTAACACCCTACGGTTAATTATATAAAATTTTTAATAATAACACCCTAACGAATTTAATTTAACCAGTTTATATAACTATATATATATATATAATTATATTATAATATATATAATTATTCCACAAGGGTGTCAGTTTGCAGAACAAGTTTTCGAAAAAAAATGTATCGAAACAATATTGTAAATGCTTCTTTTGTTAATTGTATTAAAATTTTTAACTAAATTACACCCTTACGAATTTATTTAACCAGTTATATATATTATATATATATCATAATACTATATATATATAATATATTAATACTATATATATAATTTTAAATCAAATTGACATCAACCCCACATTAATGAAAACCCCGAAATATATAATTTAAATAATTGAATCAACCCCACATTAATTGAAAACCCGAATGAAAACCAATTGGAAATCGAAAACCACACAAAATCACAATTTGGACTGAACCAAACTCGGATCGAACCAAATCAGCCCAGAAGCCACAGCGAAACCCTTCTCCCCCCTATTTTCAGCGTGAAGCCCCTAACTCGCCTGAGCCACCCTCGCCATCGCGCTGCCGTCGCCTCCCTTACCTAGCGCCGGTCTGGTTCTCTCTCTCTCTCTCCTTTTTTCGTTTCTGGCGAGTGCAAGGGCCAAGCGGAGCCGGGGCCTCACCTAGATCGAAGCAATTGCGACTCCGGCCACCAGAAACGGACTCAACTAGCCTTCGTCGCGCCACCCACGCCTTCGCGCCGCCACCATCGCCCCCTGCAGACGCGCCGCCAGTCACTTCTTCTCCCTCAGCTCGATCGCGCCGCCTCCCTCTGTTTCCGTTTGGGCGAGCAACAGTACCACCAGTCACCGCCGCTTGACATCGCGCCTCCGGTGAGCATAGCCGCTCATGCCAGCAGCGACGCCTATTTTGGTCAACTTCAGCCACTGTCCTCACTCCCCTCGTCCCGGCGAGTGTCAGCGCTGTCTCCAGCCAAGCAAAATTCCGGCGGTGTTGTGCTGGAGTATTGAAATTAATTCTGGTTATTTTCAGAAAATTAATTGATTTCTAGTATTTGTAGCTAGTTAATTTAATTGTGGGTAGTATCAATATATTTTAAAGTGTTGATTTGATTAGAGGATTTAATTAATTAAAGCCAATAAAATTTGGCACCAAATAAATTTAATTAGGGGAAATTTGATAATGATATTAATGGAATTAAAATGTGGATTTATTTTAATTTATAAATTATGGATGTGTGTTGATGTCGAGGGTTGAGTATAATATTGATATTGTTATTCGGATGGAGGAAGGGAAAATTAAATTACTTGATCATGGATGATCTATGTGTGATGATTGATATTTACATATATAAAGTTGTGATTCTTTGAACAGGTGTGTGTGATGATTGATATTTACATATATAAAGTTGTGATTCTTTGAACAGGTGGATAGTCTAATATTTAGGGGAGGCGCTGCAAAAATTTTGGTAGAATCTAGTCTAGTTATAGTAAGTTAGATTAGTAAATAATTTATTAGATTAATTTCTTAATTATTTATTTAAATTAATCCTTTGTCTGATGCATTTCTTTCCTTGTATTTTTAAATTCTTTAGATGCTTGGGCTCGGACTCGTCTACTGCTCCTTCTAGTCAGAATTCGAGTTAGAGTTTCTTCTTTCCTCGACCACCGTGAGTAATAATAAATAGTGCATACTATTATTGCATTTGCATAACATATATATCATATATTATTATATATATATATATATATATATATATTATATATATACTATATATAATATATATATATACTATATATATATAATTGATAACTCTAATATTCCATTTTATTATTCTAAGATTATTTAGTTTATATTATATACGGTATTCATAAATATAATCATATGTTACTATTAATTATATAATTATAACTTCTAATGTTTTGTGCAATTAAGGAATGGTTTTGGTGCTACGTTGAAATTAAATCGTTTTTGATTAACATTCTGCGGTTGAATTTGCTATGCTATTGTTTGATATGGACATTGGAATGAAAGTGGAGCCACCACAGATTTTGTGAGGGCCATCTGCCGATATCGTTGGCGTGTATGGGAGAGATCGGTGTCCCCCGTGTACCTCGATGTTATATGATATCGCGGAAAAAAACCAGTGGAGGTCCGCTTGTTGCATATGAAAATGGACAAAAGAGAATCATACTAAAAGGTACATATGAGACGAGGGTGGAAGTGAAACTCTAATATTCATTTTTATTATCATAAGATTATTAGTATATTATTATACGTATTTCATAAATATATCATGTTACTATTAATATATAATTATACTTTTATGTTTGTGCATTAAGGATTGGTTTTGTGCATTACGTTGAAATAATCGTTTGATTACTTCTGCGGTGAATTTGCTATGCTTTGTTTGTATGGAATTGGAATGAAGTGGGCCACCACAGATTTGTGAGGGCGATCTGCGATATCGTTGGCCGTGTATGGGGAGATCGGTGTCCCCGTGTCCACCTGATGTTATATGATATGGAAAAAACCAGGAGGTGGCCGCTTGTTGATATGAAAATGAAAAGAGAATATATAAAAGGTACATATGGGAGAGGGCTGGTCAAGTGAGGATTAGACTGGTAGGCTAGGTATGAGTGATCGGCTCCCTAGTGCACACGTTTGAAAGGGCGAGCCATGTGAGAGGATGGCTCGTCGGGGTTTTTGGTGGCCACTGACTAATTTCCACTTACTTGATTATTTGAAGGTGAAATTACTGGTGAATGTTGATTTTGTGCCACATGCTTGACTAGTTGTGCATTCACGTTAGTATCTTAGGATGCATTTTGCGTAAATGCTTGTAATATGCATTATTTATTATTATTCACTGAGTTGTAAAACTCACTCTTCTTTTACTTAACTTGTCAGGAAGTAGAAGCCCGTCGACCGACTAAATCTCTGCAATCTTCTCTGCAAGGGTATAAAAGTAAATTCCTAATTTCTGCAATTAGTTAATTTGTGTATTGTTATATGTATAACTCCATTACTTCTAACTATTGTTGAACTCCACAGTTGTAGGAATGCGTATTTTTAATTTGGTCTTTAAACTGGTGTGCTAACCTACGAATGAGATGTATTATTATTAGGCTCGAGCTAAGCTTTACTCGAGATATTTGAGATTGGGCCAGGATTGTATGATTTATAGATAAATACAAATTTATATGGGCTTACTGCTTCTAAGATTTTTGTGTGGCGTGTATGAGTTTGGTAGTTTAGGCTTTCTACGGGCCTCAGGGGACTTAAGCTTACCTGGACTCTAGTGCCGGTCCGGCACATGGGAACGGGTTGTGACATTCTATTGACACTATTTTGATCCCAAAAGCTAGGTTGAATTAATTAGAAACAGCCACACAATCCGTGGAACGACTGGGTGCTTCCTCCCTATGTCTACAAACTCCCAATGGATGGAGAATAATATTGTCTATTTACAGCGTAGACCAGAGAGAGAGAGGACATAGCCTATATATATGTAGGAGACTATTAGGGTCTCCCATTATAACCCTAATATGATATACAATCCTAATCCAAGTTATAATTTAACCACACTTAATCCAAACACATTTAACTACCCATCAATACTTTAATGATTAATCATTAATAACGGGTTTTAAATCAGACCTTTTGGATTATAACTTAATCCAAATATTTTATAAAACTAAATAAAACACGATCAATAAGTCCAAATAAATAAATTTCTAAGAAATGGGTCAGAGATATCACTTTAACAACATACTAATAATGTATCATAGTGCATCCAAATTTGACTAATTCCCGCTCGCAATAATATATTATAGTGTATCCAAATCTGACTATTTCCCGCTTGCCCTCAGAGGCAAAGGGACTGACTCGGGGAGTTTGTGTTGTGCAGGATTCAACCTACGATTGAAGTTATAGTGATCAACTCTGTAAGTACTTTTTACCACTGAGCTACCCTGTTTGGGTTAACTTATCCAATATTATTGTAGCTAAGAAACAAAGAATATTTATTAGTTGAAATTCATGTAGGAGAATACAAATAGACTTGCAAAACACTAAGAAGAGACAAGATAACGTAATAAAATTCGTAATATGCAAGCATAATTTAGGATTTTCACTTTTTATTAATTGAGGTAATTTTTAATTTTGCTTTCTGTTGAGCTCTTTATGGAAAGTTTTTGTAGGAATTTTCTTAGGAACTCACTAATTTTGTAACCAAGGAAGAATGATACCGCTTGATTATTATTTTTTAAAAAAATTAATTAATATTTTTTATTTATATAATACATCAAAATAAAAGAAAAGCAATATATTCATTTTAAACATTGAAACAATATATAATATAGGTTATAAAATACGAAAATAACTATACCATTATCTGTCATTGTATATTTTAATAGTAAATACTACTAAAATATTACCAAATATAAATATCATCGGCCGCTACACAACTTATCACTGTCAGTTATCAGTTCATATATCACTATCAGTTATCAGTTCGTATAAGGTTAACCAAAGGAGTCTTGCATCTATTAGCAACTAGAACTAGCACCGGCAAACATGATCATGACTTGTAACGCGCGGATGACTTGTTTATGAATGTGTTACCGTTAAGTTTACAATTTTGGGACATCAACATTATACATATTTACTTTAAAAATGACAGTACAGTTTTTTTTTTTTTTTTGACCTTAAATCACAGTACAGTTTTAATCTTTAACAGAAGCCTTTTCACATCTCTGTAAATAAAGAAAGTTTTTTTTTTTTCTTTTCCTGTGAAAAGAAAGGTTGTAAATTGACAAATTAACACAATATGTTTGGTGATACTAACAGGATTTTTAAAGAGATTTTAATAAAAAATAAAATATAAAGAAGGCGACAAATTTACACACTAGATATATGTTTCAAGAGAGGGAACTTCTTAAATAACCTTTTCAGACTCTTCATATATAAAATAAATATTAGTCTTTAAAATCTATATCTATATCTATATAATAGTATAATACAGAAAGTAATTGACTTATATAGAAGCCAAGTGTAAGTAGCACAATTTGTACTTGACAATATTTTGAATTATAGAATGACAAATGTTAGAAGAATAAATAGAAAATGAAAAAAAAAAATTCATGCAAATAATTTATTAGGTATGTATATTAATGTGTCTTTTCATTCTTCAAGATATATATATAAAAAATTAAAAATAGAGATTTTCTTTTTATACAAGTATAATATCAAGTATAATATCAAACGATAATTGTCTATTAAGATAGGACGAAAATGAGAACGAGAACTGTTATAAGTCTTACTATCATTTATAGGAATAGTGTATGCATTTTTTTTATATAGGTCATATAATACATAGTTTTTGATATTGGATACCTTGGTGAAAAATTTCGCAGAATATTTAATAGGCACATTTTAATATTGCAACTTTTCAACATATCTCGAGATACAATTTTGTAATGCATTTTATAATTATTTTATTATACAATTTTATTATTTTTAAATGATGTTATAAAAGATTATTTTATCATTCAATATTGTTTCTTCCATCTCGTGGGTTCTAATGCTATTTAAGTTAAAAGAAAACCGAATGTGTTTACAAAGGTGATTAAACAATTAATAAACAAGTATAAATTAAGAATTATAGAACAAAAGTGAGCTCAATGGTGGATATTATGGTAAAGTTTTGTTATAATTCCACCAATGTCACTGAGCTACTACAATATTGACATAGTTAACACAAAACACACACAAATTTATCAATAAAAAAACAAATGTATGAAGCTTACTTATTTAGAAATTGTATATAAATTTTCCAAATGATTTAAATTATTAATTAAACATCAACATTAGGAAGGAAGCCCATATCTAAAAGAACCTGTCCACAATTAGGGTTAGCTTCCTTCTTCATATACCCTAAAGGGTTAGCGTATCGGCTTGCTTGAACCACTCCAACATTTTGGGAAAGTAAAATACGTGCTCGATCCGTACTTTTGAATGGTTCTATACAGTCTGTCATTCCACTCTTCACCAACCGAACCTCACAAATATCTTCCTCGTGTTCGCCCTCCACCGGTAGCCGGTAAATGCCCTGCGGATCAGTCTCTCCCTCCACCGCGTAAGTCAGTGTGTTGTTCTCTCGGATCTTGCATTCCAACTTCACTACAGCACCTGAAATTTATTGCAAACTAATTGAGCTATAAGTTTATGGATGAAAGAAAATTAAGAAGAAAAACAGAGAAAGCAAATATTGATTCACCTTTGATGGGTTCACTGAGCTTGGTTTCGAACTCGACGCGGCAAACGTCGCAGTATACTTTTCCTTCAACAAACATGTTGGCGCCAGCGAAGGCGTAGCTAAAGAGAGAGGAGAAGCAAAGAGCAGAGGCAATGAGGCCAGCAAAAGCAAAGCTCTTTGCCATTTTTTTACTGAGTTTACGTATTACAGCTCTTGGTATTTGATCAATGTACTATTGATGTTGGATCATTATGTGGACAATAACTTTATTTTATAAGGAGAATGGTTAGGTAAAACTGTAATTTTTGAGTGGTAGATAATTCAAGTTCTCTATTTTAAGGTTAAATAAATAAGGAGAGAGACTCGTTCAATGCTATCACGTCATTGTAAATTGCAAGGAGCAAAAGCTTTTTTCGGTTAATTTTTAACCAAAATGTTTCCAAATTAGTTGTTTTTAGTTGGGTTGTAGTCTGTTGTTATATATTTTTGGTTATTTTGTTGCAATTATTTATAGCAAGTCATCTAAATTTAATTAATTGAATCTAATATGCAATATCAACAAAGAGATATGTAAATCTACGGACTATGTTGGCAACACAGGCTGGACATGTAAAAACTGTTCTCGAGTTCGAACCCATTAAACACACTTGAAAGAAGGGGTGAAAAGTCTTAATTGTGACCAAATTTCAAAGCAGATTAGGCGGTCCCTGATAAAAGGATCCGGATACCGATGGTTTAAAAAAAATGTGAAAATGAAAACTAATAAAATATATTTAATTAATACATGCTATTTTTTTACATATGTAAACAATGCAATTACAAAGTATTCTATCTAATTGATCTTTCCATTAATGGGAGGATCGGAAGGACTCTTGATTTGTTTATTTTCAATATATGGACTATCTATAACCAGCCAAATATAAGTCGTTTTTGGGTAATTATTTTGTCTCAAACTATAAATTATTTTAAATATTTTAAAGAATAATAAATAATGTTATCTCTATTTATTAGATACAATAACTATTTTCATAAGTTACCCTTAGTTTTGAGATGAAAGATAATTTTATCAAATTACTTTTAGTTTTATTTTGATTAGGAGAATTAATTATTTCTTTTAATCTCCATATAAAAATCTTAAACGACTTATATTGTAGGACAAATAATATTATAATTTTTTTTTTGTCTTTTTCTTTTATCCAGTGAATAGATAATTAACTCGTTTGTCATGTGTCTTCATTAGATTGCCTTTATGTAAGGGTCCATCATACATTAGATGCCCGTAAATGTTGACTACGTTATCCTTATTTATAAAAAAGAAAGGTTTTTGAAAATTATAGCAATTAATCTTCATTATTTGCAAAAGGTAAAAATGAGAAATTTTTTTTTTAAAATTATAAACGTGACACCTATTGTAGACACGCTGTATGACATTTATTTATCGTGAGAGGGAGTGTAATTTCATTCTCCGTGATTGGCTACTTTTGATTGAAGTTTTTTTTTTTTTTTTTTTTTTTCCAAAGAAAGGTTTTTGAAAAATAATTATAAGCAATTAAATCTCTCATTCATTTGCAAAAGGTAAAAATGCAGAAATTTTTTTTTTAAAATTATAAACGTGACACCTATCTGTAGACACGCTGTATGACATTTATTTATCGTTGAGAGGGCAGGTTTGATAATTTCTATTCTCCGTGGATTGGCTACTTTTGAACTGAAGTTTTTTTTTTTTTTTTTTTTTTTTTTTTCCCATTTTTCTCGTTAGGATGACTGGAGGGTTTACACTGCTCATTTTTTTTTTTTTTTTTTTTTTTTCCCATTTTCTCGTAGGATGATTGGAGGGTTACATGCTCAGGAATAAGATATGGACTTTTAATATTTAATAAAATATAATTTCAAACTGTTAAATCTATCCTCATAATCATTGTTATAATAGCAAAATACAAGTACATAGGCCCATTTATGAACCAAATCAATAAAATAGATCTAAAAAGAATATTAGTTAATTAAAAATTGAAATAAATCCAAAATCAATCTCTAACTACATATATAGTTCTATTCTTTAGCCTCTTTGTTGATGCTAATTTCAGCTTCATCATCAAGCTTAACTTTCTTCCATTGAAGGAACTCTACAAGGCCTTGTAAAGCAGTTCTCACATCATTACTCTTCATTAGCTCTCCTAAAACTTCTTCATTAGTGACTTCAACATTCTCTATGAGCTCTTCAATTTCTTGAAAAAGCTTGTGATGTTGAATTCCATGATAATGGGAAACTAATTTCTTGAATGTAAAAATATTACAATATGACATTTTGATGTGCATATCTATGCGACCATAACTCATCAAAGCTGGATTAACCCTTTCCTTGTCTCTGGCTGTGAAGATGATCATATATTCATTTCTACAGTGTGACCAAAGTCCATCAGTGACTTGGAGTAGCTGTAAGGTTTCTTTCTGTGTTCAAAAGCACATCAAAATTAGGGCATTAATTAATTATTAAAAACCTGATTTTTGTACAAGAAAAATTAAATCAATTGAATTGTTTATATAAAACTAAATTGAACTTCAACTAAGTTTTTATATAAGAGAAACCAATTACTAAATCAAATTGTGTATAGAACCCAAAAATACATTTGTTTCTGTTTGATTTTTCAATTTTGACTTAATTTTTCTATTAAATCGTTTTGAATTTTAGGATTTTTAGGGTTTTCAATTTTGCATAATAAAAATAAAAAAAGATTTCAGTTTCTTTTATGAAAACTAAAACCAAACCATTAAAAAAAAAAAAAAAAACTGAACTTATCAATTCAATTTGATTCAAGGTCTGTTCGACAATGTTTAGTTGTTCTACTAGTCGTTAGCTATTAGCTTCTAATAGTAAGAGATAAATCAAAAGCGTTAAGTAAAACTAGTTGTTTAATTTAAAATTACAAAAAAAAGACATCAATTGTTTAATTAGTTGAGTTTGGGAGAAAAAACAATATGTATGATTGTCGAAAAAAAAATTTATATTTCATAAAAAGCTCTCTCAAAAAGTTATTATAAAAGCTATATTGTTGAACATAGATAGAGTTTTGAATCGATCAAAATGCTAAAAACAATTTTACTAAATTCTACTAAGTGCTACCATTCTCATAATAAAACATAACTATGCACCAAAAACAGATTCGTACTAACCTGATCTTGATTATGATTCTCTGGTTGTACATTGCAATCAATATCCTTTATCACAAGTATAGATCGATTGGGGATATCATCCATAAGTCGGTGAAAGTTGAGGTAAGGTTGGCACCAAATTGATGGATCTAACTCATAAATGTCATATTTTATGTGATTAGCCATAGCTGCAATTAAGCTTGATTTGCCTGAGCCAGAAGGTCCATAAAACAAGTAACTTCTATTCCAAGCTCTCCCAATCCTTCCATACATTTCCTTAGCCTTCATAAACATGTTCAAATCATCTAAAACAGTTTTCTTCATCTCTGCATCCATAACTAGATTCTTGAATGTCGTTGAGTTATCAAATGTGTCGTCTACTTCCCACTTCCATTGACGATCAAAGGTAGAAAGCTTCAGTTTTTGAACCTTGTTTCTTGGTTCTTTTCTCTCCAAGATGTAAGGCAAGTAGAAATTTAGAACTATTTCTTTATATTTCTTGTGAAAAGATAGCTGATAGGATCTTAGTTCGGATTCTGAATTAGCATATTGAATTCTAAAATCAAAATGTCCAGCTTTAAAGAAAACCAACTTCCAACTTACTTGTACATTTCTAAAAACATCATGTATTTCTTGATCTTTGACAATGGTTGTCGTTTTGTTCTCCTTGGAAGCATTTACTATGGTGCTTAAATAGGTATGAGCAGCCTGAAAAAGTTGGTTATGGTGATGATCTTGATATTCTTCTATAACAATTGTAAGGATTTGGTGAGAAGAGAAATGGGCAGGACTTATGTTTTGGAGAGAAAACATTTTTCGTAAGAATTTTTGAGAATTAAGGTACGAATATAATATGGGATTTGAAGGAGGATTTTGCTTAAAAGGTAGAGATTAGAGAAAGATTTGGTAAAGATGGTTTTTGGATGTGATAATGTCAATTTTTTAGACTAATTCTATTATGACTAGTCTTTAACTTGACTTTCAAAATAAACTATTAGTTTTATGGAGACTCTTTCATGATATCATAATTAAAACATTTGAGGACTTCTCTGTTTTTCTTTTGGCATTCGAAGGAGAAGAAAAGACTTTTCCAATTTCTTGAGTTCCAAGAAGTTCTTCTTTGACTGACCAGTCATGGTGATATAATAAAATAAATACTTTCGGTATTATTTTATTTTGCATGGTTTGACAAAACATGCATATTAAGAATTTAGTCAACAAAAATCATTTTATCCTTTTTTACCATTAACGTTAAGATGTTAATAAAAGTATTTCTAAAGGATAATAAAGATTATCATGAATAAAATAATTGTTTACATATATAAATTTAGAAATCTTGCAAACGTTTGTGGGATATCCAAAAAAGTAATAACAAGCAAATAAAATGGAACGGAGGGAGTAGTTACTACAATTTCTAAAGAATAATAAATTTATTGATGTTATGAGTTCTCTTCACCACACAGACATTATAATCTATTTGGTGAATATTATTTAAAAGATAGAAATATTCTTATTGTATGAACTTCCCATTAAAATTGAACTAGAATAACATTGTAGACTACACAATTGAAAATTTTAACTTTTACCATAAAAAAATTTTAAATTTATTTTTGATATAAACGTAAAATAAGCCGAACAAAACTAAGTATAAATATTGTCTAAAGGAAGATTATTTATAGATGAAAATATACAATACAAAAAATCAAAATTTGATTCTAGGATGAATTGGGTAAGATGTTAGAATTTATGAAGATAAAATATAAAATGTTGGCTTACTTGAGTTTTGGTTGATCAAAGGCCAGTAATAACCGATTAACTAGCTAGTTTTCTACCTTTATATAAGCTTTATGGATTTATTATTTAGACACTATGAAATTCTTACAGGTTATACGGTAATAATCCAAGAATTATTTATGTAAGTGTAATATGAGATAGTCCATACATAAACAAATAACGTTCCAAAATGAATTCTTTTTATAGGGAGTGAATTCAATGAGCTCGTTTCCTGTATGTTTTTGTAAGTATCAATTTTTTTTTTACCATATCTTTATGAGATTAATTATTTTCTTTCATAAAGATATCAAGCACAAGTTATGTTATAGTCTATCTAAATCATCAATATTTTCTGTCTCGATCATTCTAAGACTACAAATAATTAATTTAAAAATAATATTATATGTAATAAAAATTTCATTATTATGCTAAACACCATACTTCCATTTACACAATATTTATTTTAAGGATTTTATTGATATAAACATAATAAATAACTAATTTATAGATAAAAATACCAAATAAAATATTAATACAAAATAGTAAAATGTTAGGGATTAGACCTGTTTAAACTGGGTTTATGATCCACCCAAGGACTAAATTAATGAAAATATTAATTTTTTAAAAATTATTCATATCTTTTTTTTTTCCGGCGTATAATCAGAAATACTATTGTTTCAACAAAAAATCATTTTTCATTGGTTTGGCCAATGAGTGAGCTCATAATCCGACGTATGCATGACTCTAAAATTAAAAAAAAATATATATATATATATATTATTTGACCCTTTAAACATGTAAATGTTTTGTTGTTACCATCTCTTGAGACTCTATGCTGATCCAACATATGTATAAATTACTCCTGATTTTTTTTTTTTAAATTAATATATGTTTGATCATGAATTATGTTAATATTAACATCTTTACTAATCTTGCAAATCAATGCTGCCATATTTGATTTTCTTTGGAAATGAAACAGGAATGAAAATAAAAACATAATTTATATTAAGAATTATAGTTAAAAATAAATACAATATCAACATTACTTCATGTTATATGCAAATATAAAAATATAGGGGAAAAAAAAAAGTTACACTTTGTGGATAAAGTTAAAAAAAGAAAAATGAAATCCTGCTCTAAAAACTAGTACTTGTCCTGTTCAGCTAGCTTGTAGTGAAGAAACTTGACCAAGCCTTGGAGAGAAACTTCAGCATCAAGACTCTTCATGAGCTCTACTGCTACTTCTGCAATGCTGACTTCAACCTTTTGTAGGAGCTCTTCAATCTCTTTGTAGATCATGTGATGGCGAATTCCGAAATGGTTAAAAACTAATTGATTGAATGCAGTAATTGTGCAATATGACATGTTAATCTGCATATCAATTAGACTACTTGGCTTCAACAATTCAGAAATGATCTCTTTGTTACTCGTTGTCAACACCAGAACTTGCCCTCCACCACAGTTTGACCAAGCCTCATCGATGAGCTCCATCAGTTTCACCTGACAATAAAACAATAATATTGCAATTAGTACATTATTAATTGATATCCGATAAACCAAAAAAGAAAAAAGAAAGAATCGATACTTACAAGTGTTTTACCGTTGTTTGCTGATTTATCTTCCGATTCTTGGTTCTGTTGTTGGATACTACAATCAATATCTTCAACCACAAGTAAAGATTTACTAGAGCTATCACAAATTAGTGACCTCAAAAATTCAGGATTGTGTTCAAACAATTTTGATAAATCAAAGTCGTATATATCATAATTCAATTGATTAGCCATTGCTGCAATCAAGCTCGACTTGCCAGTGCCAGGAGGACCATATAACAAATAACTACGTCTCCATCCTTTTCCATTACTCCTATAACATTCCTCACCATTAATAAACCTATTCAAATCATTAGCCACCATTGCTTTAATCTCCGAATCGATTGCAAGAGTCTCGAACGTTATGGGGTGATCGAACTCAAAAGGATATTCAGAGACACCTCCACAATCATATTCTACTTGATAGAGTCTTATTTCCTTGCATTCATCTATAATAGTTTTTGATAGCTTGTAAATGTATGGCAAATAACAATTCAATACTTTATCTTCATTTTTCTTTTCAAAAGTTAACTCATAGTATCTTATGTAGTACTCTCTCCTATACTGAGATGCTTCAACATGTCTGAAAACTAATCTCCACTTAACTTGAACATTTTCAAAAACATCAGTTACTTCTTCATTTATGTTCAAAGCAAATACTGGTTTCTTCATATCCCTATCCCTTATGACTCTTAATCTTTTAAAGGAAGAGGACAATTTAGTGCCTAAATAGATTTCAACAGCGCGGAATTCTTCGTTAAGCGCGCCATACTCTTGATCATCCTCTATAACAATACTGCTTTGTTGAGAAGAGAAATGGGGTGAACACTTAAGGATGGAGAGAAATTTTGGGATAAGAATTGCAGAAGCAGCAACAGAGGCTACTGTGGTGAGAAGTTTTGCTGAGGTTTGGGTTTTTAGATAGGAAATCATTTTTTTTTTTTTTTTTTTTTTTTTTTTTTTTTTTTTTTTTTTTTTTTTTTGTTTGGGAATGGCTTTGATATGTAAAAGAAAGAAAGTTTCTTTTTTTTTTTTTTTTTTTTTTTTTTTGTTGGGAATGGCTTTGATATGTAAAGAAAGAAAGTTTCTCAAGAAAGGCTTGTATATTTTTGGTTAAAAGTGTTTTCTTATAGAAGTTCCTTGTTTGATTTTTCATTGTCTAGTCCTTTGAAAACGAAAAGCAACAAGACCCTTTTGAACTGTTATGATTTGATTTTTCAACACCAAAATAATTATTTACAGGGCTCTTCTTTAATGTCTCAGTAAAATTGATAGGCTAGCTATATAAATTATCAAAGTTGACCAAATCAAAGAAAGAAATTTCAAGGTTTGGCTATGGGGGTTTTTCCTCGAAGATTTGGTGAAATCAAAACTTCAAGGTCTTCTGGTATTGCAATTCCTTGCAACAAAAGAAAAGGTCTTCTGGAACAGATTTTTATAGAATTTTCTTGGCTTTTGCATTATAAAGCATCACTTAAACAAAACCCTCCCAACACAAAAATTCCTAAGAACAAAATGCCCAACCCAAGAATAGTTGTCCCCATTATAGCCTCTTTTGCTGCTTCAGCAATATTAATTTCCAAAAGGAATATTTTTTTCAAAATCTTCTGCAACCTTTCTCATCATTTCTCTTCTCAACTCACTCTTGTCATTGAAGAATTCTATTATCATGAACTGTTTCTTGCTGTTAATACTTATCTGGGCAAGAAATCGACAGCATCTGCTCGAAGACTAACCGCAATCAAGAAAGAGATCGAGAAAAACATAGCAATCGGAATAGATAGAAATGAAGAAATTTTTGATGTTTTTGAAGATATACAAGTAAGGTGGAAATTGACTTCTATAGAAGATACTGAAGTTAGGTTAAAATGCTATAATTTAACTTTTGACAAGAAACACAAAGACAGAGTGCTAAATTCATACTTACCATACATTATGCAGCAAGCAAAGACTATTGAAGAACAAAACAAGAAAAGAAAGATCCACATGCTTTTGGGTTCGACATGGCAATCATCGATCGAATTGAACCACCCTATGACCTTTGACACCATTATTATGGATACAGAACTTAAGCAAGCAGTAATGGATGATCTAAAAACATTCATGGACGCAAAAGAATACTACAAAAGAATAGGGAAAGCGAAGAAGCGTGCTTACTTGATTTACGGTCCTCCTGGAACAGGCAAGTCGAGCTTGATTGCTGCTATGGCTAATTACTTAAATTACAACATACATGAAGTATATTTATCAGATTTTCGACGCGGTGAGGATATAAGGAATTTGCTGCTTCATTATATCACCCGTTCTGTACTTGTCATAAAGGGCGTTGATTCAAAAACAGAAGCTACAGACAACTTGACTGAAGTTGAAAAACAGGCACTACTGTTGAAGCTACTAAGGGTCATCAACGGACTTTGGTTGCCTCGAGGGAATGAGCTTATCATTGTCATTAAAAGTAATGACAGAGAAATGCTTGATCCAACACTGTTAATGCCTGGTCTGATCGATATGCAGATTCAGACATCATATTGTACAGTTCCTATGTTCGAGCAGTTTGTCAACCGCTATTTTCGGGTTTTCTTTCGTAAGGTTCCTGAAGAAATTGAAGAGCTGCTGGAGAAGGTTAAAGTAACACCTGCTGAATTTGCAGTAGAGCTAACAAGAAGTTCTGATTATGAAGATTTTCGAAAAAAGCTTTGCCAAATTCGTTCAGCAGAAATTGGAAAAAAAATGAGAAGATAATTGCATGAATTGCTTACAATTCTTTTCGCAGAGCCAGCAATTCAAACTCTCTTGTTCCATATCAACAAGAATTATAATTATCCCACTGCCCTGTTTCATTATTTTTTCCAGATAGTCATCTTCCTCTCTTTATTTCTTCTTCTTATTTATGTTTTCTTTTCTTAATATATAAGAAAACTAGAAGCAAAATTTTCGCCTTTTTACCTTTTTTGTTTTCTTCAAAAAAAGATATCAAATAATAAAAAATTAAAAAAAAAAAGCAAAAACAGAGATAAATGGAGTTCATTTTTAAGCGTTAGTAACTAAAACTATCTATTTTGATTTTTCGATAATTCCAGTTTAATAAATATATTTAATTAAAAATATTTTACACATTGAAGGGTTAATTAACAAAAGAAAATAGTTTAGACAAAAAGCTTGAAAAGTTACCAATTTTCCCTAGCAAAGATTGACATTTTGGAGATTCAACCAGAGTAGCAATTTGGGTTAGAGTTGGTAATCACCAGTCAACAGTCAACACATGAAAAGTTGAATCCCTGTATTAGATAATTCCAGAACAGAAAATACTATTGCTCAGACACCTTTGCTCATATAAATCAATGCTCAAAGTTTTTTAGGCAAATGTACCTGACCATAGTTGACAAATATATAAAAAATAACAATTTTTTGAGACAAAAAATAGACCATCTCTATAATAACCAATATCTTCCTGCTAATGCATATATGATTGGAATAGAATAACCCAAATCACCGTGCTAACGTGTACACGACTGGAACAAATCAACACCAGCAGAAAACAATAAGGTACAAAAAATGAGAAAATCTCAAAATCCTCTCTCAAATAACAATAGTACAAAGTTGAAGGGAAATCACCCTTCATCCTACCACACACTGAAGAATTAGGAGACTCCATCAGCTTCACTGAAAAAATAAATGAATCATGTTCATAAATTGAATGTGTAAAAATAAATGATTCATGCTCATTTAAGTACAGAGTACAGACAGTAGGTGACCGACTCACCTCTGCATCTTCACCACCACCAGCTTTGCCAGAGGTTTCCATTTTCTGGTCTTCTGCCAAAATAAAGTGAAAATGAACATGAGAAATAAATGGTACTCACGAGAATGAAATCATATATTTACTGGCCATGGAAAACAAACAAACATCTAATAAAGAACGCTTGAATGAAATTTGAAAACACCCTTTGGGCTGTCAACCCAAAAAAAAAAAAAAAAAAAAAAAAGAACGCTTGAATGAAATTTGAAAAACACCCTTTGGGGCTGCAACCCCAAAAAAAAAAAAAAAAAAAAAAAAAAAAAAAAAAACTCAAATCATATCGATCCAAGCCAAAAACAAGGACATTATTAACAAATTAGCTCAGGACAGATTCACAAAATTGCAAAGATCGCTAAAATGAACCATCAAGTGCATGAAATACCTCCATCCTCTGGAATGTCAGACGTCCACAAAGTGAGGTTATCCCTCAATAGTTGCATGATCAAAGTGCTATCCTTGTAAGATTCTTCATTCAGGGTATCCAATTCTGAAATAGCTTCATCAAAAGCTTGCTTTGCCAAGTGACAGGCTCTGACACACAAAAACCCATTAAATAAAAATCAGTATTTATGTTCCTTAGCAAATTTAAGAATCTGTTTGCGCAAGAGCATCTCACTCATATAAGCAAACTATATTCAGAATACCTTTCAGGTGAATTCATAATCTCATAATAGAAGACGGAGAAGTTGAGAGCCAAACCCAATCGAATAGGATGGGTGGGAGGTAAATCACTCTCTGCAGCGGTTGAAGCAATCTGAAAAATCAAAGTAACATTAAGTGCGTAATAACCACATTATATGTTTTCAAAAATGAAATCTTGAAGAAAGAAAATAAGGAAACAATATAACATTTAAACACAAGTCCAAGTTCCCGTTTTCTAGAATCAAACTACACAGAGGCTGTGCTTTGACACCCCAAGGTTCTCTCGTTTTTCTATTTGTTTACAGTTTTCTCTCCATAACTTTATTGGCTGGACCATGCACTCAAGAATCTCATTCAAACGTTTAGCAGGTGAGAGTACTCAAGGATGTGAAAAGAAAGAAACTATTGGGAAAGCATTTAACAGAGAATTGAGATTGAGCCCGTCTTCCCCAAGTCAAGACACAGTGTCATCTAACCCAGAGTAGCATACTCTAAATTATACATGCTAAAACTCAAAACACTCTTGGAAAGCAGTAACTTCCTGCTAAAATATCTTTCTACATTTCATAGTTATGAGTACATTCCCATAGCACAGAAGCAGAAGCTCGCTTCTCCATTACCCCCTCCACTTACATAATTAAGAATGCAAGTAAACCTCTAGTTCCTTGCAAGAGAACAAAATTGTAATAAATCATAAGTCCTATAAAACCAGGTAGCACATGAAAGAAAATATCTATTCCCCCAACGATGTGAAGTGCAAATTACTGATGACAAGAAAATTTCAATTTTGTGCCCAATAATATAAAGTTAATGTAGCAAAAGTAAGAAAAGTTGAATCACTTAGGACAAATGAAATGAAATACTTCTTTAATTAACATAAACTACTTAACTAGTATGCCAATGGAGAAGCTTCACTCATGGATATCTATAACATATTTTCAAAAATTAATGAAAAACAGCAAAAATTAATAAATAAATAAATAAATAATTATAAAGACCTGGTATGCCTTCAGAGACTGATCAGCTGCTTCTTTCTTCTCCGTATCAGCATAGAACTCCGCTAGATACCGAAAATAATCACCTTTCCTAAAACAAATCAAAAACCCACGATATTTTTCCCAATTGAAACTACAAAAAAGGAAATTTCTTTGGCAAACAAAAATCCAACCCTTACATCTTATAGTAAAACACATTGGACTCAACATCTCCAGAAGATGGAATGAGATGCTCATCAAGTATCCTCATAATATCACTACAAATGTTGGTCAACTCCGCCTCCACCCTTTTCCTATACTCTTTAATTCTTCTAACGTGTGACTCGTTGCCTTTCGATTCCTCCTTCTGCTCGATCGAAGACAAGATCCTCCACGACGCCCGGCGTGCGCCGACCACATTCTTATAACCAACAGAAAGTAAGTTTCTCTCCTCTACTGTCAATTCCACATCAAGTTCTGCTACTTTCTTCATCGATTCAACCATTTCTACATAAAATTAACAAGAAATCATTCAAATTTGGTTTCCAGTAAGTAATTTCATCTACAAATTCACCCCCCCCCAAAAAAAAAAAGAATCAACTAAACTAGAAAATGCAAAAAAAAAAAAAAAAAAACATCTACAAATTCACCCCCCAAAAAAAAAAAAGAATCAACATAAAACTAGAAAATGCAAAAAAAAAAAAAAAAAAAATCTAGGAAGAGAGACAGACCGTCGTAGCGTTCCGCCTTGCTCTGAGAGCTTTCGAAAAAAAAAAAAAAAAAAAATCTAGAAGAGAGACAGACCGTCGTAGCGTTCCGCTTGCTCTGCGAGCTTGGCGACATACACGAAGTTTCCACGATCTTTAGAAGAGTCCATGGCTGATCTCTGCAGAAAGAGCAGTATCTCTGGTTTTTCTCTAGTAGGAGAGTAAGGTGGAGAGAAATTGTAACTAATGTAATAAAGCGGAGAGGAGGATAGAGGAGGGTTTAGTAGGGTAGGGTCAGCTGTAGGTGTGATCATGATGAGGGGAGCTGAATCACGCTCCATTCTGAAGATTAGTACGGTCGTGGGCCCCTTCTACTTAACCTGTACCCTTGACATTGAGTAAGTTTGACTTTATTCGAGGGGATTAGTGTAAGAGAGTCGCATGGTAGTAGACATAATTTGATTGTGTTGCGCACCAGTCAATGAATGACACGTGCTTTTTGATTATTTGTCTCTGCCTTTTATTCAAATTTATTGAGGTTTGTCGGATGGTCTTAGTCACCGTATAAATTCTTTATTAAAAAAAAAAAAAAACCAATGAAATAAAATTTTAAAAAATATGGAGGTCTCCTGGAAAGAATTTAATTTCGAGGTTAAAAGACTTGAACGGAGTTTGGCATGAGAGAGGCCTGGGACTAGACGAACTAATGACAGATTACTTCTCTTGCATTTTCACTTCCGACTGGGTCCGTTGATACTCATACTGGTATCTTTTCTTGTGTGGACTCGGTTATTAATCATGATCAAAATGCTCTCTTGGATGGTCAGTTTACTACAGAAGAGGTTAAAGCTGCTATCTTCTCTATGCATCCTGATAAATCTCCGGGACCTGATGGAATGAGCCCGGCTTTCTGCAAGAAGTATTGGACTATCATTGGCCCTGCTGTCACAGAAGCGAGCTTGAATTTTTTGAATAATGTGAGCTTTTCTTCGAATTTAAATCAGACGTTGATTGTGCTGATTCCGAAGAAAAAATTCCTTTGTCCATGGCTGACCTTCGCCCAATCTCCCTCTCTAATGTGTTTTACAAAATTATCTCTAAAGTTATTGCTAACTGGTTGAAACTTGTTTTGTCGGATGTTATATCTCCCTCCCAGAGTGCTTTTGTCCCGGAACAGCTAATTTCTGACAATATTATGGTTGCATATGAGGTTATTCACAACCTGAGAAGAAAAGCAGAAGGCAAGGCGGGTAGCGCTATTCTAAAAATTGATATGAGCAAGGCGTATGACCGCTTAGAGTGGGGTTTCTTACAGGGTATGATGGCTAAATTGGGGTTCAATTAGAAATTTATTGATCTGGTGATGACCTGTGTTACTACAGTTCAATATAAGATTCTACATGATTGGCAGGAACTTGGTCCAGTAATTCCAGAATGGGGCTTACGACAGGGATGCCCACTGTCGTCGTACCTTTTCATAATGTGTTCGAAAGGTCTATCTCTACTTTTGCGGGATAGGGAAAGAAAGGGTCTCATTCACGGCCTTAGTGTTTGTAGAGGTGCACCGCTATGTCCCACTTATTTTTCGCATATGATTCCTTGTTGTTTTTTAACGCCCTAGAGTCGGAGAGTGCCCATATTAAAGATTTGTTTGTCCATCTATGCAAAAGCATCCTGATAGACTACAAATCTTAACAAGTCGACCTAAGCATTTAGTGCTAATATTGATCAGTCTATGAGGAACTGTGTTTCCAGCTCTCTTATGGTCCAAGAATCTCCTTCCCTGGGATTTTACTTGGGTCTGCCTTCCTTGGAGGGTAGAAATAAACAAGAGGTGTTTGGCTTCATAAAGGATAAAATCTGGAAAAGTTTACAAAGCTGGAAGAAACTCCTATCACGAGCAGGGAAAGATGTGTTGCTCAAGTCTGTGGTGCAAGCGATCCCCACTTACACTATGTCAGTTTTTCTCCTTCCCCAAAATTTGTGTGCCGACTTGCAAAGACTTAAAAACAAGTTTTGGTGGGATTCTGGCTCTAATGGTAGTACTGGCATTCATTGGAAGCACTGGGAAGCACTTTGCTGTTCAAAATCCTTTGGAGGTCTCAACTTCCGCTGCTTACATGAGTTCAATCTTGTTTTATTGGGGAAACAGTTATGACGCTTGCTTGTCTTCCCAAACACAATGGCGGTGAGGCTATACAAAGCCAGGTACTATCCCGTTTCTTCCCTTTTTGATACAGCTTTGGGCTCGAACCCAAGTTATATCTGAAGTAGCCTTCGAGCTGCTATCCCATTGCTTAAGACTGGCAGTCTACTTAGGGTGGGCAACGGCAGGTCTATCTCCATCTGGACTCACCCCTGGCTCCCTGATGCTCTTAATCCCCATATCACATCTGCTCGACCTTCTGCGTGTGAGTTCTTCTCTGTCAGTTCTCTTATCCAAACTGATGGCAAATGTTGGAATAGAGATACTTCGCAGAGTTTGTTCTCGGACAGGGATATAAACTTGATTTTGCGGACCCCTTTGTGTAGTCAAAGTAGAGAGGATGGTTGGCAATGGTGTGACGAAAGGAGTGGAGTTTATTCGGTTCGTAGTGCTTATAGAAGGCTGAGTTCAGGATTCCCTATGATCTCCACTGTAATAATGAAACCATTCCGGGTCAAGCTCTGGGCTCCAAAGCTCCCTCCAAAGGTGCTTAATCTTGTCTGGCGCATTGGCACGAGATCAATTCTAGTTCGTCAAGCTTTGGCAGTTCTTAATGCATGTATTCATAGAGTGTTCTTTTGCCTGAGATTGCTGGCTGCGAGTATTGAATGGAGCACTAGCAATTTTTGACATGCAGAGGCCTTGGGAGATACTTGATTGGTTAATGTTTTCGCAGCTCACTCTATCTAGGACGTCAACGATGCATGCATGACGCTATGGGTCATCTAGCAACACAGGAATGCAGTCCTCTGGCGGAATTTAGATGCGCCTATAGACCATCCTTTGGGGTCAGCAACGAAATGGATGACTAATTGGCAGACCTCTCAGCTCAAACAATAGATGCCTTCCCCCTCTAGTCTTCTGAGGCCTGTTTCTTAGACAAATCCTCCACTGGGCTACATAAAATGTAATGTAGATGCATTGTTTCATGCCTCTTTCCGGTGGTTGGTGCTGATTGGGTGCTACGCAACGAGGAAAGGCAGTTCTTAATGCATGCCAAACTGGTCTTGTTGGTGGGATTGATCCGCAGGTGGCAGAAGCTCTCTCCTTTAGAGAGGCCTTGAGCTGGGTAAAGAGCAAGTCCTATAACCATGTTATATTGGAGTCAGATTCCCTCTTGCTGGTGCAAGCTCTTCAAGGCCAGAACATAAATGACTCTTATTTTGTAATATTATCTCTGAATGTACATACTTTCTTCAAGAACTAGTCCCTTGTTCTGCGATATTTATTAAGCGATCAGCGAATAGAGTTGCTCACTTGTTAGCAATTAACGCATATTATTTGTCTGATTTAAAGGAGTGGGGTCTTGTCCCTCCTTTATTTATTGTCACTTCTCTTCTTCTTGATTTACCGTAATGAAAGTTATTCATTTTCCTTCAAAAAAAAATTTTTTTTTAAATATGCGGGAAAATGTATCAACCAAATTAAACTGATTAATTTATTTTTTTTTTAATTTTAAAAAATCTAGTATGCTTTTAATTTTAACGAAGAATCAAATTCTTTTATTCAATTCATTTTTATCACAAGAAAAAAAAAATCTTTAAAAATCAAAATTAAAAAAATTAAGCTAAATTGATTCAATTTTCCTTACATAAAAATTTGATTCGTTGGATTTATATTTATTAATTTCAATTTAAACTAAAACAATCAATCAAATGTTTACTGCCATGTAGTTCTAATCTTAGGGTACTCTTACTAAATTTGTATATGATGATTTATATGTTATAAATAGGTATTATTTAATATTACAAATAAGTAAGAATAAGCTTGAAATGAATTCACTTTATGGTTTTAAAATAAAGGCTCTTCAGTTCTTTTGAAACATGACAACCAATTAGGAAACAAGACCTACTTTTATAGGACTAGAAAGCTAACCTACTGCTTGATTAGCATTTATACATTGTATATAATATATTTCCATATAAATATATTTTAATAAATTTAATTATTAAATATAATTATTATATAAATTGAAATTGTTAAAATTTAATATTTTTTTTAAGGCCCAACGTATCACTAGCTTCAACTTTACATGTTTTTGTAATTTCGCATATTTTGATATTTTTATCAATTTTATCCTAATTTTTTAATAGCCCTCAATTCCAATTAAAGATAGAATTGCAAATAGAAATGTATTTTTATCATTTTGTTTTTTAATTATTTTAATTAGCACGTGTTAAATATTATATTTTCTAAATTTATAAATTTGCTATCCATCAAATGCGAATATAATTAGATATTGAAAGAACATTTAAAATTTTATTTTTATTATTAATTTTTAAAAAAGAATGAAAGTACTTTTTATTTGTGATCTCATCCTTAACTACAATTGAGAGTGATATTGCTATAAAAGATTGAAATTGAAATAGAGTTCACAGAAACATTAAAATAGGGTGAAATTATACAAACTCGTAAAGTTCGAATACACTAGGCTTATTAGATAAAAGATAGTTACTATTTCATATTTAAAACATTAAGAAAATTTTATTTAAATATAAACAATTATAATTAAAGAAATTTCTGTAGTATAATTTTAATAAAATTTTAAAAGTTTATTAAGTTAATTTATTTTTATGAAAGAAAGTTTATGAAGTTAATTAACATCAAATAAATGTAGAATCTTTGCAATATTTGTGCATAAGAAGAAAAATGATAGCATGAATTTTATATATCTAACAATGATAATGAAAGAACATGAACCAAAACAATAATTCAAAAAAGAAAATATTACTTATATTTAGCTATGTCTTTCTCTAAATATATATTTATTTACATACGTGTATCATATTAAAAATATGTAGGCATGTCCACATCATCAATTTGAATCGGAACCGAATTGAAACCAAACTGTACTATAGATGAGTCGAAACCGGATCGGAACTGTTAGTTCAAAGTTTTGAATCGGAACCAGCGGTTTAAAGGTAAGTTAAGGTTCCTATGAATATTAAAATCTGAATCTAAACCGATTTGGAACTCGCAGTTAATCGGCAACTCCGGTCCAGTTCCAATCAAAAATTTTTTATTTTTATTTTCAAAATTATAATCACTTAATTTATTTTATACACCTGTAAAAGTCTAAATAATCTTTTACACACGGTACATTTTACTTAAAGATTAAAAATCTAAGAAATAAAATGGTAAAAAAAAGTTAATATTTAGTCTAAAATTATATTATTTGATACAAATAGGAGTTTTAACTTCTTTTTTCCTTTTAAATTGTTGATCTAGTTCAAAGTTACATTGTTTGAAGCATTTTTCAAATTTTTCTAACAATTTAATTAATTAATAACATTTAGACAAAATAAAACGATAATTTATTTTATGATTTTGTAAAATTAATTAATTTTATTTTTTATATACGAGTATAAGCATTCCAAAAGTTATTTGAAATAAAATTTATCAATATTTTTTGAACTCATTAATTTTTTCGAAAGAAAAATATAATTTTAAAACCCAATTATTATTTTTTTTGAAAAATAATACACATATCGCTGAAAAACCGTGATCAAAACCGTCTGCCGAAACCGTTTGAGATCGTAAGCGGATTGAAACCAACGGTTCACGGATTAATTCAGGTTCAACATCTTAAAAATTTTAAACCGCAAGTTCTGAACGATTCAATAAACCAGTCATGCCTAAAATATTTACATTATAATATTTGTAGGAATTTAATAAAATCAAATAGGAAAAATTGAACGAAAATGATATTGGTTGAGGTGTAAGCGATATCTCTCCTGATGTGAAACGTTACTAACATCGTGTCTGATCCTTTTTGAACATCCTTAAGTTGGTTTAAAAAGGTCCCTACAATATCATTATTTTGGCCACCATATTGGAAAAAAGAAAGAAATACCATCGAAGGCAAGGAAATGTAATATTCGTGTCTGTGAAAGGTAAGACAAAGACTTCAGAACAAAGAGTCTCATTCAAAAATTATTACCCATATGGAACGAAGAACTCATTCTTCAGATTTGAAGGGACAGCAAGTGGAACTTAACGCAGTTTTAGCAACTTTTTCAAAACTGTGTTTAAACACAAGAAACCATGGTTTGCTAAGCCTTCAACATTATAAAGCAATTTGTATGAAAAATCTAACTGTAATGCTAAAATGACAGTAAAAATTATATTGGTACAATAAAATCTCAAGGACTACAAGCAAAGATCACACACTAATCAACCTAAGTTTGCTACAGAAGGAAAAAAAAAATGAAAATAAAAAGCAGGGGGAAAGAACTAGAGTTCTTACAACAGGAAATTCCTCTGCTTTTGGGATCAATTTGGCTATGAACAGCTGGTAGAAATCAAAACTTGGAGCTAAAACTATCCCACTATGCAAAACATAATGCATTGTCATTTTGGTATTCTTTTGAGTAGCTTGTACATGCCAAAAACATTCTTCTCTTGCCACATATATGGGATAAAAAATGATCTGTACATGGGAGGTGAGAGCTCCCTGTCTAGATAAGGAAATGCTGCAATAGGCTGAAGTACATTGTCTTAGTATAGTCATAAAAGGAAACAAAAAGAATCATAGAGAGAGAGAGAGAGAGAGAGAGAAAACCGCAAGTTCTGAACGATTCAATAAACCAGTCATGCCTAAAATATTTACATTATAATATTTGTAGGAATTTAATAAAATCAAATAGGAAAAATTGAACGAAAATGATATTGGTTGAGGTGTAAGCGATATCTCTCCTGATGTGAAACGTTACTAACATCGTGTCTGATCCTTTTTGAACATCCTTAAGTTGGTTTAAAAAGGTCCCTACAATATCATTATTTTGGCCACCATATTGGAAAAAAGAAAGAAATACCATCGAAGGCAAGGAAATGTAATATTCGTGTCTGTGAAAGGTAAGACAAAGACTTCAGAACAAAGAGTCTCATTCAAAAATTATTACCCATATGGAACGAAGAACTCATTCTTCAGATTTGAAGGGACAGCAAGTGGAACTTAACGCAGTTTTAGCAACTTTTTCAAAACTGTGTTTAAACACAAGAAACCATGGTTTGCTAAGCCTTCAACATTATAAAGCAATTTGTATGAAAAATCTAACTGTAATGCTAAAATGACAGTAAAAATTATATTGGTACAATAAAATCTCAAGGACTACAAGCAAAGATCACACACTAATCAACCTAAGTTTGCTACAGAAGGAAAAAAAAAATGAAAATAAAAAGCAGGGGGAAAGAACTAGAGTTCTTACAACAGGAAATTCCTCTGCTTTTGGGATCAATTTGGCTATGAACAGCTGGTAGAAATCAAAACTTGGAGCTAAAACTATCCCACTATGCAAAACATAATGCATTGTCATTTTGGTATTCTTTTGAGTAGCTTGTACATGCCAAAAACATTCTTCTCTTGCCACATATATGGGATAAAAAATGATCTGTACATGGGAGGTGAGAGCTCCCTGTCTAGATAAGGAAATGCTGCAATAGGCTGAAGTACATTGTCTTAGTATAGTCATAAAAGGAAACAAAAAGAATCATAGAGAGAGAGAGAGAGAGAGAGAGAGAGAGAGTGAGAGTTACCTCCCAAGTTGACAAGTCACTTCCGCGAGAAGGGTAGGGTCGATTAAGATGAAGCTCAACTAGGAATGTACAAGTTTCGATATCGCGGAGCTGTATATTGAATGGAAGTGTTTTATTCATGCTGTATAAGATAATCATGAGAAAGCACAAGTGGAAAGGCTAATTACATATTGCTCATCTGCTGCCTTGTTCTTATTGTTAAAATATGGAGGAGCTGCTGCAGTACCACCCAAGGTAGAATTGAACGGAAGGGGAAGGAGACCTCGGAACCCATCATCAATCCAACGGATTTCACTGACATAATCAGGAACAAAGAATGATGAAGGGAAACGGTGCCATTCACTTCCAACACAAAGCACAGAACCTGAAAGTCGAAGGAGCCAAATTAGAATGTGTTTCTTCTAAAGTAACTTACACCAGATAAGGTAAAAAACTTTAAGTTAAGGACAAAGAAAAAAAAAACCTATAAGTTTTGGGTTGTCTAGAGGGGAAAAGTTGCAAGTTGGAAACAGAACTAGCACTTGCACTTGTTAAATAACAGATAACCATGATATGCTATAGTACAGATTTAATTAAATAACATTACATATTAAAATTACCGCAGAAGATCATTGGTTATGAATGCTATACAATTGCAGAAAGTGAAAAAGTCACTTCAAATGGGAGGTGGCTTTCATTTTGCCACATTTATAACCATTCTTATGTATCAAGTATTCATATTATGTCCACAGATAACTTTCTCCAACACTGAAGTTAAATAGCAAAGTTAGCCACAATTTGAGACTAGAAAAAACATATAAAATTAACTCTTCCACTTGGAAAGTTAAACTACATTAAAATCAGTGAATGAATACCGTAGCTAGTGCCAAAAATAAAATTTCATGGGCTACAGTAACTCTAAAATTCTAGTCATTTCTAATTTCAAGAAATAATGCAAGATATCGATTCATACCTGGTCCTACATCATCATGATGCTCCAAAATTTTGTAAACCTCGATAGGAGCACCATAACCGTTAATCAGAGAGAATGTACGAGCATGGGATGCACATAATATAAAGCTAAGAACCACAGGTCTGAGAGCTTTTGCTATCTGCACAGAAACAGACCACAAGTTTATTGCTACTGAATAGACAAAAGGAATATATGGGTGGGATAATTATAACAATGGTGTCCAAACTTTTTCAAATTTTCTACTGTCTAAAATTTATTTATTTGTCTTTTTTTGTGCAATTAGTGCCTGAACAGGGAATTTTTTTTTTTTTTTAACTAAGTTCATTTGGCCTGAAAATTAAATTATACCTATTTACCCTCATTAACAGTATAACTACCTCTTTCGATTTATTCCATTTTATCATATCTTTTCTATTCAAATAATTTTATTGCTTCTCTTTCAAAAGGTTGATAGAGATGAGGAAAAATTCAATTTTGGCAAAGAAAAAGCACAGAAAAATGGATAAAACGAGAATCAATAAAATGGAATGATAGTGGCCTATTTACAAGCATAAATAAGTCAATTTTATTTTTCAGGGAACTAAATCTGACCAAATGCAATGTAAGTAGAAAAAAAAAATTTCACCATTCATATACCTTATTGACAAAAAAATAAGCTTGTCGGTGGAATATAAAAATTAAAAAAAGTTCAGGCACCAAAGGGATAGTTATCCCAGTATTGGCAATGGACAAGAAGGCTACCTTAACCATTAGAGAATTGTCATAGGGATTATATTTGTCTCGGAAAAGATCGGGAAAGCTTTCAATGACAGCAGATGCAGCAACACAAACAAGAGGGTATATTGGATAAAGGAACCTGCAATTGCCACTTGTTTGGTCATCATATATATATATTTGGCCCACGCTTCTCGACCCTAGAGCTCAGGCTGGATGAAACCAAGCATATGAACCACCCATAATCCCATAACAACATGACATATAAGCATTTTGAATTGTAATCGCTTGAAGGAGCTCCATTACAAACAAAACCTCATTGAATATCCACAATCATCATTTTATGTGGAAAAAAGTAAACAGTTATGAAATTCATGCAAGGATATTATAGGATTAATATTGTTTAGTTAGGATGAATCTTCTGGTATAAATATTGGCTTATCACACACATGAGAATATACATATATATCTATCCAAAAACCTCTACAGATTTCGTCCCTACCCAGAGAATATGGTTGTAGACAAGCAAGCATTGGAGTGTAGTAAGCATCATTGATGAGGATTCCCCAAAGAAAGGTAAAAAAATGAATGCAAAGAAATTATGCTAAATGACACAATGTTTAGCAGCATTTCCAGTTGTATTATATAAAAAAAACAACGGTTTCATCAATAATTTGTCATCAAGATGGGTCAAACAACAGGAACTTGGATTCTGATAAGGAAAAAACATATAGATTATCAGGTTTATGTACAATATTGCCATTATCTGCATAGGACAACTTGAACACTATAGGAAAATTTTCAAGAGTTTTTTTTTTCTCCCTCAACTTCTTTTATAGTCTAAAATTTAAACTCATGGCATGAAGCATTACCAAGAAATAAACTACCATCCAAAGTAAACTAATGATGTTCAGCAACCAGTTTCCGAATTATCTATACCATCTCTTCTTGTAACTCTAAATAAGAACATTGCAAACTTTTTTAAGAAAAAAAAATATGGGGTGCATGTCAAACTGCAAACTAAACTAAACTAAACCAGTTGAAACTAAAAACTTTGATATCAAATGCAAGTTATCCTTATGGTCAATTCTAATCTCAAAGACTAGTGATACAAAAGATTCTGATCAACCAATAGCAACAATGGCACCGGCCAGAAATAAAAGGATATTACTGTGGCATCAAGCTCACTCGCCACATTACAGACAAAATTATGTAGTTGGTGACACAAAGGTCACCAACTACATAATTTTGTTTGTGAAAGAGGACAAGCATCATAAATTTATCAGTACAATCATAGTTCAGTGTGGTAATATAAGACAGCCTTAACAAGGAAAATGTCATTTGCCAAGACAAGATGTCATTCATCAAAGATAAGATATGTACCTAGCCACAAACTTATTACATTTGATAGGATTTATTCAATGAATCATTGTTAAAATCAGGATTTTAAATACAAGGAACCCAGGACTGGTAAGCATGGAGGATTATCATAATTCGAATAAAATACCCAGGATGTTACAGAAAGAGAAGCATAAAGCATCCAGATCTAAATCATTCCTTCATAATAAAAATGACTGGGGAATAATCTGCAAATATTTTCAAGATAACAGCAAGACAAATCATACCTTTCTTCTTTGTGGGGCTGCAAAGACATAAACCCTAGCCAAATATAAAGAGGTGACACCACAATCAGCAAGTCCGGCGCATACTTTCTCCTTGCAATTGGTAAAATCACAAGAAAGAGCAGTGCCAGAACAAAACAAAAGTTAAAATTGTTAAGACCATTCCTCAGATAAAATAATGGCCCTTCAATCCCATATAAATGACTCTCACCACCTCCTAAGACATTATATACCAAAAGATTCAGAACAGAAGACGTCCACCTTCTGTAGTAATGATAGTCAACAAGAACTGAGAGTACCTGAAAGAATTCAGCTCTTTAAATCATAGCATAAACATAAATGACTTAGTAAGATACTATTATAACTTTTTGATTTGCTAGATATAAGCATAAATTTTCAGTGTCACAAAATGTGCAGCAATCGAAACGGTGACGAACTTACAAGAAGTACAAGAGAAGTGAGTGCACCAGCTAAAAATGTTTTTTTGAATCTTCTAGCCAAAGAGTAGAATGTAATTGGCAGGAAAGCCAAGATTGAGAATGGCCAACCAAGGATGACCCCAATAGCTGCAACAGCAACAGCCGTAGCAGGTTTCTCAAGAAGAAATAACCCCGAAGAAAGACTCATGGCATACATAGAGAATGAACTTGGCAGAAAACCTGGCAATGAAACCCAAAAAACATCACAAAAGCCTATAAAAGAAAATGATAATCAGTTTGATATGCAGAATACAACAATTCAAAAATGTTATGTATAGTTAATTGGTTAACTGAAACAGGAGCCAAACTTGCTGACCATCACTACTCGGATCGTAGAATATAATGCATTACTACCAGGAGCCCACGAGAAGAACAAATATAACATTCCAGAAAGACAATAAGCGCAACAAGAAGGCTTACTCACTTGTACTAGCAAAGAAACAACCACTTGTTAAGCATAGCATGGCAAGTGTATAAGACGCAAGACGTTTGCCATACTTCCTAGAAAGTGCAACTACCAGAGTGGCATCAGCAACAACAGAAATGAGACCAAGAAACAGTCTTACTGCATAGAATACTCTTGCCTGTTAATATGCAAAATATGATTTAAAGTTTACATAAAGTTTCGAGCTTTCAGATAACAAAAAATTAAAAAAACCAAAATCAGCCACTAGAAGAATTTCAATAAATCAAAGGCAGGGTTTCAAAATCTTACTTTGTCCTCTGCATACAGCCAAGAAGCTGGTAAACTCACTAGTTCATGGAAATTAATATACAAGTAAGACCGAAGAGCGAACTGAGAGCTGCAAATACCAAAATCAAACCCAACAAGTTCAAAATATCGATTAAATTTAAGTTCTAAAAAGCATCAAAGAATATGAGTTCAGAACCAAACCAAACAACTCATTCAACAAAATTAAGGCAAGCTCTAAATGGCAACAAACAGTAGACAAACGAAAGCAAACCCAGTAAGTCTTTAAGTAAATTAAAAGGCTTGAAATAGCATAAAACAGCAAAACCTATACAAACAAATAATTTGAGCACAAAAACAGTGCAATGATGAAATAAAAGGAGTACCTGTATTCCCACGTTTGGAAGCCAGACTTGTAGAGAAGATAATGGAGAGGCTCCCAATAGTTAAAAACCTCATCACAATCATGTATGATGTTTGATGTAGCACTCATGTATCTTAGCATTACCAAAGCAAATAGAGGCAAGAACCATCCTAATCCCTTTTCCTCCTCTTCGCTGCTATTCGATCTCACAGGTTTATCAGCCTTCGTGTATGATTCCGACGAAGACGTCAAATCGGACGGTAGTGGACGCCGCTGTCGCATTGATAGAGCCATAGACAGTTCCAATGATCTTTCTTTCTCTGTTTTTTTGGATCAGAGAGTAGAAATGAATGAGTTAGAGGGCGATTCCTTCCTTGGTGATAAAGAAAATTAGCTGCTCTCTTTTGTATAATAATGATAAAATAATATGGGTTAATTATTAATTTATAACATAGTCCTTAAAGTTAATTTTAATATATATTTTAATATTTATATATCTTATTTTTATTTTCCTTTTAATTTTATAATTTTAGTCAAGTTTAGATTTTAGCAATATAAATTTTCTTTTCTTTTCTTTTCTTTTGAAGAAATAAATTTTATTTTCTATTATTAAAAAAATAATTTCTAACTACCCAAACATAATGTATTTATTTAAACTTATTATAAAATTATTACATTTTAAATCATAAAAATTAAATTACATTGTAACTCACATTTTTCTAAGAAACATTCTCACTTACTAATTCAACTTTTAATCAATTTTATCCTAATTTTTGCATTTTTAAATAATAAAAAATTCCACTAATTTTTTTATTTTTTTGCTAATAATCTAATATTAGAAAGTGACTAAAAATTAACAATTTCAAAACTTTCAAAAATTAAAATATCTATTAAGGAAAATATTTTACATTTTTCATAATTAACTCAATATACACATACGTGAATAGACAAAGCCACCTTAGGGCCCCTAATTTAAATATATATATATGTTTGAGTAATCATTCTTTAAAGAAAAGCTAAAACCCTAATTAACTTTGTAATTCTATTTCTTTTTTAGTTATTGATTTTATATTCTATTAATTTTTGGTTCAATAATTGTTGGTTTTTCATAATACATTATAATTTAGGGAGTTTAATAAATGAATTTTGAATCATAGTATTCAATTTAATTGAACATTATATTTATCCTTAATATTTAATAAGTTAATTAATTTTAAAATCAAAAAGCATGAAGTTTTAAATTTATGTGATGACAATTTTTATTGCAGTAGCTATGAGATGGTACTTTAATAAATCAATGAGCTATTGATGATTATTCAATAATTTATATTGAAAAATATGCATTTACAAGTATCGATAATAAAATTATTACGAATATATTTTAAAAATGAAAAATAGACGATGATTATTGTAATTTAATTGTAACAATTTATTTTCATTTGTATAAGAAATTTCTGTCATTTATGTTTATCTTATTTATGTTATTCCTGTAAATTATATATTTTAATTGCATTTTTCGGTAAATTTTCTAACTATGTTAGTGCATATATGTGTTTGTGTTATGTTTATTACTTATATTTTTATAAATTAAACGTATTACGTGCGTTGCAAGTTGACTATACTCGTTATATGCTCATTTTTTTATATTCGTTTAATTTTTTTATTTATATGATATTAAAGAATAAATTCTTCTATAATATAATAAATACAATGGTTAAATTATATTACATTTTATATATACAGTTGATCTTTTTTTTGGTTATATGCATTGCACTGCAATATCACATTGAAAAAAAAAAAATATTTGTTTCTCCCTTTAAAAATAGCAATTAAATTATTATCTCTATTCTCAAATACTTATCGCATGCTCTTTCCCTCTTCTTCTAAAAATCTAAAACCTCTCTTCTTTTCTTTCACAGGCCGCCACCCCTTTTCTTTTTCTTTTTTTTTATTTGGTTTTTTGTAAATAATCCTCAGATCTATAAACAGATTTGAGTTATTGTCATCTATATATTGAGATTTTGTCTTCAGATCTGGTTTTGAGTTATTATTGATTTTGTCTAGCATCTTTTATTATTTGCATAATTATATAGAAAGAAGGGCAAATCTCCTCTCCAATAGAAGGAAGAAATTTGAAGGTAATCAGATTGGACTTATAAAAAGACCATGGAGTCGAACAATGGCCATGAATAACCACCAAGTGGAGCAAGCGTTTTCACAGGCCGCCACCCCTTTTCTTTTTCTTTTTTTTTTTTATTTGTTTTTTTGTAAATTAATCCTCAAGATCTATAAACAGAATTGAGATTTACATTGCGTCCATCAATATATTGATTTTGATCTCTCTATGATCCTTATACATGATCTGGTTTTTGTTAGTTATATTGGTTTTGTTTCTAGCATCTTTTTATATGTTTGGCATAATTAAGTTAAAAATAGTAAAAGAAGAGGCAAATCTCCCTCATCCAATAAGAAAGAAGAAAATTTTTTTGAAGGATAATCAGAATTGAGGTAACACTTATAAAAAAAGACCATAAAGGAAGTTCGACAAAATGGCCATGAATAACCACGCAAAGATAGGAGCAAGCTGATTGCCTATGGCAACAAATTATGTTATGTTCCTTTCGTCAACTCGATCCCTGATACTCCTCAAACACACACGCTATTTTTTTTTATCTCCCAATAGAAGGAAGAAATTTGAAGGTAATCAGATTGGACTTATAAAAAGACCATGGAGTCGAACAATGGCCATGAATAACCACCAAGTGGAGCAAGCGATTGCCTATGGCACAAATATGATGTTTTGTCAACTCGATCTGATACTTCAAATTAAGATTGTATTTTTTTATTCTATTATACAAAAATATAGAAACATAATGATCCATATCCCATATCTGTATACAGTTTTCAATTAATGAAATTCTAGTTTGATTTTTCTAAAAAAACAATATTATAGTCAGTATTTTTAAAATATATTTAACATAATAACTCTGTGGAAAAAGGTGACGCATTTAAAAAATCTAATAACACTTTATATTTATAATTATTCAATATTAGAATATTTACTTATTTATTTATTTATTTATTTTTGTTGAAAAAATAATATCCAGGGTATATGGAAAAATAAAAGTTATGGGAAGAGAGAAAATGTAACACCCCTCTACTTAAGAACCTTATAAATATGTTTAGATGTATGAATGTGTGGGTGTTGGTCCAACATGGAGGTGAGTAGAGAGTGAGAGACAGCGTGTCCATGAGATATGGACTAGATTGTAAAGAAAATGAAAGTTTAGTTAAATCTAATGTATAAATAAAGAAATCTGTTTATTTGTAGCATAGCCAGCTATGAATTAATGAAAACAAAAAAAAGTGTGAGACTCATCTTAAAGCAAATTTATCATTTATAAGATGCAAAATCATGTTTTCATCTTCTTCTTCTATGGGTAGGACGACATTTTTTGAGAGGAAAAAAAAAAAAAGAGAAAGAGCGATTTAAATATAGACTTAATTATAAATTTAATATTTGAGTTCTCTAAAAATTTTTATTTCAATATTTTAACGAAAAACATTTATCATTAGATATCTAAATGTCTAAAATATTTTCAATCCGGTGTTTCTATTACCTATAGTTTAACGAAAACACAAATATTGCGTATGGATCCACTAAAAAAAAGTTGCTTAGGACGACAATTGGCTTGCCATGTCGGTTTTGACACGTACAAAAGGTGATTGGTCAAAACCTTGGGACAAAATTGGCCCTTCCAAAACACTTAGGGCAACATCAATTGAATGCCCTCACTGTCCCAGTTCAATGGAATCAGCTTTACTCGAAGACCAAAAAAAATAGTCCAGTTGGTCGACTATTGCTTTAACGGGTTCGATCCAGAAGACGACAAAAGAGTGGCGGGCTATTCTCTGTCTAGAGCAATTTCACATTGTTTGAGAGAAAGGAATTGAGTAAACCCTAAATTCCTTATCGTTAATCTTGAGTAAATCCTATTTGAGATGTTCGCTATGATAACATTTTGATCTTTGGAAGATTTATCAATTTTTTGTTCCATAAAATATTTAATATAGTTCGATTGCATATCTCAAGTTTAAATTCACAGGAGAGTATGATAAATTCTTTGGTGAAGGAGTTTACAATTGTGCTGGTTGTGGAATACCACTTTACATGAACATAAGCTCTTCTACTTTAATAGTAGAGCCATTTGAGCAAGAGCGTGAGCTACCTTATTACATTCTCTAATGAAATGCATAAAAATAAAAGAGGCAAAAGAATTGAAAAGCATACTCAAGTTCAATAATCTGGTTTCGAACTCAGAATATGGGAAAATATTATTATTCAACTGATGTATCAAAGTAAGGCGGCAGTCCGACTCAAACACTATTTAACTAAATGCAAGTGAAGAGACAAATAGAAATGTTTGTCAGTGATCCACAAACTATCTATTTGTATGATTAGAGTCCGACCCTAGGCTACGACGTAGTTTTGCCTGTGGATTCAAAAAATAGGACAATTTTTCATTATTATTCTTTAATGATTAAAATTAAAATTCCTACTCAATAAGTAGTCTATTCAGTTAGAGAAAATATTTCAATTTCATTTAGTAATCAATTTAACTAAGGATTTCTTTATTTTTTAACCAATATATTTACAATTTTTAAAGATACTTTTATCAATCTATAAAATTATTAAACGTGTTTTTGACAATTTCAATATTCACTCCTCATTCCAACTTATATATATATATATTCAAGGACGTGGATTGAACTTTGTTACTGGTGGATCATAACCGTTATAATGATTACTTATAATTCATTTGTTATTTATTTTTTATTAATTTTTCCAAAGCAATATAAAATTCAATATTTTTAGTCATATACAATTTAATTTACGATAAGAGTATTAATATTTTTTATACTCATGAGAAAGAGTACATATCATTTAATTTTTATATATAATTTTTTACTAATTTTCTCTATTAAATTCTTAATTTTGTTCTAATACTTATTTTTTATTATCATAAAAAAATTTTATTATATAGAGTTTGAGGATGTCAGCTTTTTTTTGCAAAAATGATTTGGAAAGAATCGAATTGGAAGGGTTTGATTTATTTTATTTATTAAAAATGGTTTTCTTTTATTTAAATCCATTTAATTCTCGAAAAAATATTTTCTTATTTTGGTAAGAATTTTATTTTGGAATTGCCACCCTTATTAGGAAAAATTCTCGAATCAGCCGATTCTTTAAAATCGACTAATCCGATTTTAAACCAGAGATAGGGTCCGGGAGTTAGGTACAAAATGGGAAGGTATTAGGCATCCATCTCGCTCGGCTAAGCCGGTCTCCTAATTGTCCATTAATTTACAATAATTTAACAATGCAATTAACTAAAAAA